GGTTTCCACCACCTTCAAGTTCTTTCTTTGTTTCAAGAATTTTCCTAACAAGACCACCTGGAAAAGAAACACACTGGAAATTATAACTAGAGTAGGTATGTTGCTTTATTTACTATATTTGAGATATTTATAACTTGTGAATGAATACAAGGGAATGACTTTGAACTATGGCCACAAAATGACATCCTGTTCTTTTTACAGGGTTCGTACCCTTTTTCAGAAACAAATTTCCAGGACTTTTTCAGGACTCAGATTGATTTTTCCAGGACTCTAAAATTCATACTAACCCTTTCACTCCCAAGATCTCAATGTTAATTCTTCTTACTGTTTGCCATACATTTCATATTTTTTACTTGAGTTTAACAGAGTTCCAGAACTTTCCAGGACCAGTAGCCCTTTTTGAGGACTTTCCAGTCCTGGAAAATGCAACAGTAGAATTCCAGGACTTAACAGGTTTTCCAGCACCTGTACCAACCCTACTTTTAAAATCTATAACAATAGGCCATTTCCGAGTTACCTTTTGCCTCTGTGTCAAAATGAGTCTTTGTGCGAAACCATTTATATGAAAATGTGTTCTGCCTAGAGGCTCGTTTTAATGTAAACCAAACTCGTTTTCATATGAAAGGTTTTGCCCAAGGACTTGTTTTGGAAAAGAGGCATAAGGTAACTCGGAAATGGCCCATTGGCATTGTCACATTTAAATTGGAGCACCCAAGAGAGTTTTGATTTTGACAACCAAAAGTTATAAAATAATGTTCTTACCATGTTCGCCATCATCTTCTGCAACTTCTCCTGCTGGAGCCTGAAAACATTTCACAGTAAAGTTACATGTATGAATTTCAACAAGGTTGTAACAGCATTTTGTGCGGAGAATCAAATGCATGGTTGGTTGTTTGAAAAAAAAAAAATTCATCAAGGAATTCTACAGTCCATGAACACACTCAATATCGATTGGAAGCCACCGCTACATTAGCCTTCTGTTCAGTCATCATTTTAGAGTGGGTAAGTGTTAGGTGATAACCCAAATAATGGCTGCAATGGACACTACCAATTATCTATTAAACCTAATAACCCCTCACTTCTTTTCTCATTCCTTTCCCACTTTTTCTTTTTTTATTTTATTCACTTTTTCCTAACTTTCCATTTTTCTATTTATTAATAATAATAATAATAATAATAATAATAANCTTAACAGGTTTTCCAGCACCTGTACCAACCCTACTTTTAAAATCTATAACAATAGGCCATTTCCGAGTTGCCTTTTGCCTGTGTGTCAAAATGAGTCTTTGTGCGAAACCATTCATATGAAAATGTGTTCTGCCTAGAGGCTCATTTTAATGTAAATCAAACTTGTTTTCATATGAAAAGTTTTGCCCAAGGACTTGTTTTGGAAAAAAGGCACAAGGTAACTTGGAAATGGCCCATTGGCATTGTCACATTTAAATTGGAGCACCCAAGAGAGTTTTGATGTTGACAACCAAAAGTTATAAAATAATGCTCTTACCATGTTCACCATCATCTTCTGCAACTTCTCCTGCTGGAGCCTGAAAACATTTCACAGTAAAGTTACATGTATGAATTTCAACAAGGTTGTAACAGCATTGTGTGCATAGAATCAAATGCACGCTTGGTTGTTTGAAATAAAAAATTCGTCAAGGAATTCTACAGTCCATGAATGCAGTCAATATCAATTGCAAGCCACCACTACGTTAGCCATCTGTTCAGTCATCATTTTCGAGTGGTAAGTGTTAGGTGATGACCCAAATAATAGCTGCAATGGACACTACCAATTATCTATTAAACCTAATAACCCCTCACTTCTTTTCTCATTCTTTTCCCACTTTTTCTTTTTTCTTTTATTCACTTTTTCCTAACTTTCCGTTTTTCTATTTATTAATAATAATAATAATAATAATAATAATAATAATAATAATAATAATAATAATAATAATAATAATAATAAAAGCATTTGTAACCATTGATAGACTGGCCTGCCTAGACAAGCACTAGCTATTCATGGACCACTCCAACTGTGAAGTGTACTTTAAGAAATAAAAAATATGATTGATTGATTGACTACCACCAGCCTGCAAAGGAAGTTGTGTTGATAGCAAAGCACTAGTGGATTTTGCAGTCAGGCTAGTGCAATATGTCCTTCACTTGCCAAGCAGGCAAGTAAAGTTTTGTGAGGAATGTTTTTTTCATGAAACTCAAATTACAGAAGTACTGTAAGTAATGCAAATTTGGGGGGCTGAAGCAAATAGTTGTGAGGTTAGTACAAGATATTATAGCCAACTGTTTTTTTTTTCACCTGTCCCACTCTAGTGATACATGTCTAAAACTGGAAAGGTTCACTCCAGTATGCCATGTACTGTGGATTGTTAAGGCCACAGTGGCACGTGAAAAGAAACATGGGTGAGTAGTTCTTCCTTTTCTGGTATGTCCACAGTACACTGTTACAAAAATTGCCACAAATTAAAGGCTAGCAAACTGTTCAGTGACTACTGACCAAGTCTACATCATTTTGAATTGCATTTGGATCTTCAACCACAAAAGTATCATCCTCGTCATCTTGATCCTTGCCATCATCAACAATAACACTTGCAACTTGCTTTCCTGAACCAATTCTAAAAAAAAGCAAAATAAAGAAATATGTGTCTAGGATTTGCCTATCTTTGTTACCTCAGGATCTTGAATTAATCGTGGGAAGATTTTACCTCAGTAATTGACCATGACCAACAGTTACTGTTGAGCATTATCAGTTTGCAAAGAAAGCTCTGTCCGATAGCCCAGGGCTGGTGGATTTTTACAGTTGATTTAGTCTGTTCTGTCCCTCACTTGCCCAATGAGCAAGGGATTCAGGTTTTGGAAAATATTTTTTGAGGAAATTCACATTGCAGAACTTTTGAAAGAGATGAAACGTTTGGGGGCTATTGAGAATGATTTTAAGGGTAGTAAGTCATAATGACAGCATGCCCAAAGGGCAAACCTGATTATGGCTGTAACAGATTACAACATTTAAACTCATCACCAATAGATCTTGTAGCCACATTTTGAATGAAGGTGCTTACTTATTTCAAGCACATAACTTGCTTCAAATGGTAGTATTGCAAAAAGTAAATGCAATGTCATTTTTTAGAAGCAGGTTGAAAGAACAGAAATGCCATATGCTTTACAAATCAGTCCTGAGTTGTTTGATAGGTTGTACTATTTTATGTGTTTGCTCTACCTGGCGATCTGGTCTTCAAGCTCTTCCTGCTGCTTCTTAATCTTGGGTGGGGCAGGTCTATTTTTTTTTTTTTCATTGCAGACTCAGCAGTGAATGAAGCGGCCAAGATTATCCGTTTATTGCACGTAACAGAATTAAGAGCGCTTCAGACCAGGATCAACGAAGCCATAGTCGCCGTGCAGGCCATTACAGCCAATCCAAAGACAGATCAGTCACTAGGACGAGTTGGCGTGTAATAAACGACCGCATTATCAGGAATTATGCTGATGTTAAAAGGGCCGATATGGCTTCCACCGGCACTACATGGGTCTTATTTACTGGTATATCGGTCTACAAGACTGCTCAGTGACTGTTCCTAGTGTCAATACAGCGCGATTTCGAGGCACTGTGATCTCTATGCAAACCGGCTTGTAATGAAATCATGAATTGTTAGTGTGAGATTTGTACAAGATCTGCTACACATTGGATTCATGTAAATTAAGCCAATACCTTGTGCATTTACTACCGGTCTGAGCGAGTGGTACACGTACATTAAAAAGAAACCAATTTCTTGTTTAGTTTGTTTTTGTGGTTTTGTTTTTCGACTTTAACTCTCTTTGCATGTACGATCGGTCCAAGTTAGAGCGGTAAGATGGGTCATGACTGGCTCTTTGGTTCTTTATACACAAGGTGTATGACCCGAATCGCTAACCTGCCATCAGGCGTCTTTTTTACGCGGCGCGGAAAAAAAAAGTGCCTGAAAAACGGTGAGCGAACAAAGGAGAGGGGCGTGGTTGGAGGACCGCTTTTACACTCCGTACTCCTCGCTAATGCTTTAATTTTTCTTCCCGTTTTTCTCACATCCCTCAACTGACTGGACGTCTTGTAGAGGCATACTGTTCACAAGCTACAGAGACGCTGGATCTCGAAGCCAAGTTGGCCAAATGCACTCTTTCTTTTTAATAGGAATATCTAGGTTGAAATTCGCGAAATTTTAAGAATATTTTAAGAATAAACCCGAGATTGTGAAAAAAATATAATTTTGTGTTGAAAATTTGTAAATGCAGTACAATTATATGTTTTTCACTAAATCGTATAAAATTCGTCCTTTCTCTAAGCGGCAAAGCAAGCCAAAAAGCAACAAAAACAGCACTAGCCGTATGTTCAATGCTAATAACATTTCCGAAAGAAGTTATGTGCATGATACCAGGCTTTAATGCTTGTAGGCTGGCTCCAAAATTACTTTAAGACCATCCAAACACCAGATGCATTCGAAAACGGAAATGTCATACATTATAATCTAAGAATATTCACAAGAATATTTTCAACCTAAATTCCGCAGAAAAATAAGAATATTCAGCCTTAGCCGGAAAAACGATATTCTTATTAAAAAAAAAGAGTTTACGCAGTTACACGATTTATGTGTTGCGAAACGCGTTTCATACAAGATCACACCACGTGTATTGGCGTGAATGAAATAAAATTCAGCAAAACTCCTTTTATTGCAAGGTCCTTTACAAAATAAAATTTTAATTAGCATTAGCACTTGAGAAAAGACAGATATCGGTGCCAACTCTTGCTGGTTTCTGCCTTAAAGGTTTTAAATAGATTACCTTGCAAAACTTCACGGGAATTATGGTCAAGGTTAGGAACCTGATAAGAATAACAAGCTACTTATAAAGCTGAATCATAAGTTTATTTCTATAAATTGTCCTCAAGTACCTTGTTCTTGAAAATATTGGAGTGAACGGCGTAAATATGGAAGACATTTTCTTGCCCTTAAAACGGATTCCTTACATTGGTGAGGATTGACGATAAAATAAAATAAATAAAACATAGAAAATTTCAATTTTCTTATCATAATTCTGTTTAACTCGTACTAAAATAAAAATAAAAATAATAATAATAATAATAATAATAATTATTATTATTATAATAAAATATATAAGAGTTCACACCATTTTTGTCTCTCGCGACCTGACAAGAATTGTTTTTCTGCACAACGACAAACCGAGTTTTTTTCATCAACTAGCTATTCAAAGCCCTCAGATGATACTTTCAGGTCAAGGATCTGTCTTCTGAACATGGAAGCAAGGCACACGGTTAATATCTGCAGAACAAGCACACCAAATGACAGGCCGCCGATCAGGGCTAAGTTGTCTTTAAGAAACTGTACTGAGACGGTAAGGCAACCCTCGACATTGATCCGCTCCTGGAGGGCGATCGGGCTCAATTTGTCCACTCCAAATCCACACTGTCTGTTCGCGCGGAGATCTTCCGTCTTGCAACAAGAGAAGGGAACACCGCAAGCTGACACTGACTGGAGAGCCGAGCAGTTGAAGTAGAGATTCGCCTCCCAATCGGTGTGAGCTCGGGAGCCACAGCAACCCAGCTCGGCTTGCGCCGAGTCGATTAGGAAGTGAAGATCGGGCTTCGTCGGATCTCGGTAAAACACGATGGCGTTCCGAAGCTTCTCGTCGACTTTTTCCTCCAGTTTGTCGCTGTTAACGAAGCCAACAATTCCGCAGACGATTTCCAAGATAAGCAGTACGGTTATAGTCCCTGCGTAAAACGCTAACAGGCAGGTATTTTCCCGCAGAGCGCCGATACAGCCGGTAAAAGTTATAATAAACATTAGGCCGCCGAGCACCACAAAGATGACTGCTGGATCGTAATACAGATCTGTCAGTTTGCTGTAGACTTCGCGTTTTTCCACCATCACAAAAATTCCAACACCAAGGATAAGAACGCTCAGGAACCAGAACAGTACGTTGATGAAGAAAATGATGTACTTCACCGCTTTTGACGGCTCCTCGACGCTGGGGCGCATTGGGCTGACCTGTCCTCTTTTCATGGCTGTTGTAGACCTGTTTTACCCGATTTTCACTGCAGGAAAGTTGAAATAATTATATTTAATTCACAAAACGCGAGTAAAAGTGCTTCTCAGCGCTAAACAGTCAGCATCTTCCGAGCGACAGAGAGACGGGAAGTGATGATAATTACACGCAAGAATCAGTAAAATATTAATTCCTCAAAATACGCATATTGTGACAGTTATTATTTCACGACAGAAGTGTCCTCACCTTCTCACAAGTACATTCCTTTTATAAACAGGTTACACCGACGAAAACTTGCAGAACCGACTTTCGAGAAGATTGCTTTTCGCTGGGTAACCCCATACGGAAACTTAATATTGTCACTTGTAATTACAAAATTTGCGAAAAGAATTTGCAAACAATGGTTCAATTGCGTGACCGCGGTTAATATAAGCTATCGATTCCTTAGCAACTGTCAAAACAGGAAATATCCCATCGTTATCACCGCAGCAGCTATTCTCGTTTCGCTTGGTAAAACAAGCCAAAAGGCCAATTTTTGATAAACAAAACTGTACAATAAATGAAAAAACAACGGCAGGATTTCCACAACTTTGGTAAAGCCCGATCACATCATCTTTGAAAAACATTATTTAATCCGTACACTGTTATTAAAATATTGAGCACGTTTACGGATTTTACGTCACATGCTTGCCTCTTACGTCATTGTTTGCCTTAATTGGACGGTCACGAAAGTTTGTTTGGTACAATATCTTTTCTTGTAGTCTTTTTAGGACCAAAACACCTGCAACGACTCAAAGGTGATTTATAAAGTGTTTTTAAAGCGGCTCAAACTATGCACCATCAGTCCTTTAAACGCCCAGTGGCGCATAGGGCATCAACAAGTCGCCTCCATTCCTGTCGGTCCTTTGCAAGCCGTGAAGCTCGCCCCCAGGTAAGGTTTAGAGCCTTAAGTTCTGCTTCTGCAGTTCTTCTCCAGCTGGATTTTGGACGGTCTCTTCTTTTACCCTCTGGTGTCCATCTGAGAGCAACAGACACCAGAGGGTAAAAGAAAAAGAAGCCGCACAATGTACAGAAATTTCCAAGCCATATTTTGGTATGGTAACAAATAAAACTCTAACCTTAGCAGACAAGTTAGTGAAAACTGCTACTAAGCAAGTTTTTGCGTGGTGTGCAGTTTTTCAGAGTAATTAAAGNTAAAATGCCTTGTCCCTAAGGTAGCCGTGCGCACTTAGTTCGCATTGCACGATTAATCACAGGGACTGCTCGTAGCCTGGTAACGAGGAAATGATCATATTAAAACATTAGCAAAGGCGGCCTTTTAGAAATGTGATAACAAAGCGTTGGAAATCTCTCTCCATTCTTAATCGCCCCTATAGACCCTTTTCAGTAATGGTTACCAATTTAAAATTGTTTTGTACGCATTTAAATTACCTCACCAAATTCTTAATTCTTTTGAATTGTCGACTCAAAAACGAGGTTAGCAAGGCTAATTTTAATGCTTACAAAATAATAATAACAGTAATAATAATAATAATAATAATAATACTGATAATAATATTAATATTAATAACAAAATTGATAGCCATTTATGTAAAGGGCCTATACGGAGAAGTATACGGTACTGAATTAATCCAAGGCAACCGATATCGAAAAACAAGATAAACATGAAAAAGGTCTTTTCGAATGTTTTTACTACGCAGGACTATAAATCTAATTTTTTCCGCTCTGATGTTCGAGATTCAGAAACGAGTTTGCCTTGATTTCACTCCGTACCCCAGGGAAAAATGGAAATGATGACAAGACAAGATGAAAGACGACACCGATTTCAGATAAACCTTTTGAGGAATCACAGGGACTGAACTAATTCAACCAAGAAATGAAATTAAAATGAACAATTTATCGTTATCTGTTCCTAAAAATATTCTAAGCGACTCGAGATAAAAGTGAGTAATCGGTGATTGGAGAGTGCAAAGGGAAAATAAAATCTCTACCAATTTTACGGATGAAAACTGTACATGGCTTCTGAACTAAACGTTAACTTAGTGTTTTAAACTACACATTATGGAGTACCAAGTATCTCCTTGTACTTTGGCTCGATCTTAATTAAACATGTAATTTGATTTTTTTTTTCAAGATTTAACGATTGAAAGTTCCCAACAGCTTTTGGGACAAGCAAGTCTTTAAAGGTCGATTAGAACCAACGGCAAAGTTTGAAGAACAACAAATGCTAGACGCGACACTCTTCCTCTTTAGAACAGATCTATCGATAGAGACGGAACAACTGCGGTTGCTGAGTAATCCTCAAGGAAGCGATCAAATTACTTTACGACCCTTTTTCACTTAACCTCCAATGAAAAAGCGATCACCAGAAACTGCGCAAAAAAAAATTTCCCGGTCACATAGCACCGTTAAGCAATGTCAAACCTCTAGCAACTTGTCTTGAACAAAAAACCGTTGTCTTGGTTCTCTGAGGTAGGATTTTAAGGTGAGCAAAGGGGAATTGAAATATGATACAAATTTTTATTCATATATTAATTGGCAGTAGTTTAAAGTAGTTTAAAGCCTGTATATCGTTGGTGCCTCATAGCTACCTCACCTCAAGAAACAAAGGTCTTCACTTAATCTTCTTTGTCAACTCTAGATTTTCAAAGACCCTATCACGGAGAGGAATTGTTTGGTAAAATAAATACTCGAGTCGAAAGTTTCTTTGTACACTGATAGCTCCGTGTGCTGTTTACAAGGAGCATTATTTTACATTTTTACAAGCACCGCACCATTGCAGTCCCTTTCATCTTGATGTTAATGATACGCTAGAGAGCATTTTCTGAATCTTTTCGTCATTTCTCAAGATGTTACACTTTACTGTGCTTATCCTGTCGACCTGAAACAAGACAAGAAAAACCACATTCAGCTAAGAATTGCCGCCGGAAAAGCACGAAAAACAGCTCGAAAGATGAAGGGCTGTTCCACTAGCACTCCGGGTCCACTGGGACAAACGTAACACCTCCCCCTCATCAGACATCACATTTTTCGCCCCATATGCCAGACAAATAAATTCTTGACTCATTTGGACCACTAAATCGCGTAACGAAGTTCCAAATACAAAGTTACCGCCAAGAGAAGCCAAGTCTTTGCTTTGAGATAAAGATTTCACGACAACACAAAGGCCTAAACTGTTCCTACGTGTAAGCAAAGTACTGTTTTTTTTCTTTACAACACAATCAAAAGATGGTGCGAGTAGGATGTTGCTTAAAGACGTCTGAAAAAGACCTTAAAAATAGATTCCGTCCGACGGAGACTTCAGAGACTTGTTCCTTAGCAGAAAATTTAATTAAGACAACCTTTAGTCTTACCATTTCTGTTATTTCTGTGTCTAGTTCTTCTAGCTGTGATTTTAAGGGTGCGATCTCACTTTCTGTTATGCTGTAAACAAAAACACGAGAAAGATTAAAACATATCGGAATGACTGTTAGCAAAGGCAGCATGAAACACCAATTAAAACAAATCCAAGAGTAAGCATTGAACTACTTTTTTTTATTACCTTTCTTCTCTTCTTAACGCTATTTCATGTTCTTTGTTTTCTCTCCGCCAAATGTCTAATTCTTTTTGCATGCTATCCATATCTTCCTGTGAACAAAAATAGAACCAAAGCGGTATGTTTAAACCCGACTAAAAACTCGTCAAATTATCTTTTTGGAAAATCCACTTTTCCTTTAATAAACCGTCATTCTGTGGAGGAAAGGTGAAGTAAAAATCTCGGAGAGTAAGATATTGTCCCTGAGACTTTTCCCAATTCAATGATAAACTACACTGTCTGAGCAGATCAAATAGTGCTAGCTAATTCAACATAGTTCATTCTGGCCTTCAAGTGATAGAAGAAGCATGAAACATGACGTTGTAAAGTCGTTCTGCGCTCCAGAAAAACATCTTTTCCACTCTACTCTCTGGAGAGGAACACACCCACACGAGAATGAAAAGACAAGAAAGTTCGCCTGAGAGACTGAAGAGCACATCCTAACTTCTGATTTTCTCTCAAAACGGTTAAGCCTGGTTTTCACTAGCGACGCAAGCAAAAACGCAAGCAATAGGGATGACCCAAGTGAAAACGAAATTCGACGCAAACACAAGCACAAGCAAAATCACCCAAACCATCCAAACTGATAAGGCGCAAAGTAATCTGGACCGTGGTCCAGTATTTTCATTTGCCAAACCTAACCACGTGTGGTAAATATCCTTGTGGCTGTGTTATACCTGAGCGGTACTAGGAATTTTTGGAAAGCCAAAGCTTCGTTTTCACTAGCGACGCAAGCACGAGCGCAAACACAACAATTCTCATTTTACCGTGAAAACGGCCTTGACCTTGAGCACAAGCGCAAGCATACACGAGAAGCGTAAATTTTTCATTTTTCTTGTGCTTGCGCTTATGCTTGCGTTTGCGCAGCAACAAGTGAAAACGAAATACTGTTTATTTTATTCCTACTTCCCTATTTATTCATACCTGAATATAGTCCATAATTTTTCCTAGTGGATTTGCACTTCTAGTCAGTGTTTGGATACTAGTTCTAAGTTTTTCTATCTGTAAAGTGAAAAAGCAGCAAAACCAAGTTAGTAGATAGATTTTAAAGGCTGGTGTTCCTAGACAAGATATCTGGGCATCTACTTTTATTTCCACCAACCTCTTTCTGTGCGAGCTCTCTTTCTTTTCTTCTTGCAGCATCAGATATGATTGGTGCTTGTCTTTCCTGCAAAAGGATTTGGCATTTCTCTTAAAAAAGGATTACACACCCTATCGGCCTGTTTTTGCCCAAATGTGCCGCTGGAAAAGGGTTTGAAGTGGGTGTGACTGGGCTTACGACCTGAATTCATTTTATGACTACAAATTTCGGATTGCTTTTGCATTCTGCGTTTTGACAGCCTAATATAGCACTCTCTCTTTTTTTTCTTACTAAGATATGAGAAGCCCAAAATTACATCTGCAAAATTTATAACAAATGGAACAATTTTTGCTTTCAGTTAATTGCAGAATTAGTCATTAACAAACGACAGAAATTCAGATGGCACAGCATGGATACAGGCCTGATTGGGATACAGTGTGATTGGGAATTTTAGCCAAAGCCTTGTTGCATCAAAATAGCCTGTTCCAGGTGAGCAGCATGAAAAATGGCCTGAGAAAAAATAGTGGCACCTGAAGTTACAGACTAGCAGCAGATTTCGACCTGATGAATTGACGCACTAACTTTTTAGATTTTATTACATACCCAACAATCACACAAAATGCATTATGCAAACATAACAAGTTCACCTGTTTTGGTCTTGCTTCTTGGTTTCCACCACCTTCAAGTTCTTTCTTTGTTTCAAGAATTTTCCTAACAAGACCACCTGGAAAAGAAACGCACTGGAAATTATAACTAGAGTAGGTGTGTTGCTTTATTTACTACATCTGGGATATTTATAACTTGTGAATGAATACAGGAGACTCCCATATTAAGGTAATGGGGATGCTGGTCATTGTGGTATGGCTTAGGGTGTTTAAATCAAGGTTGTCAATTAGCCCCTGTGTGAGTAATCTAATATGTAACTTTTTAAGTCAGGAAAAAAAACAGTTACAGGAATTAGGTCTTTCGGGATGAGAATGAATTTGAACTATGGCCACAAAATGACACCCTGTTCCTTTTACAGGGTTCGTACCCTTTTTCAGAAACAAATTTCCAGGACTTTTCCAGGACTCTAAAATTCACATTGACCCTTTCACTCCGGAGATCTCAATGTTAATTCTCCTTACTTGTTTGCCATACATTTCATATTTTCTACTTGAGTTTAACAGATTTCCAGAACTTTCCAGGACCAGTAGCCCTTTTTCAGGACTTTCCAGTCCTGGAAAATGCAACAGTAGAATTCCAGGACTTAACAGGTTTTCCAGCACCTGTACCAACCCTACTTTTAAAATCTATAACAATAGGCCATTTCCGAGTTGCCTTTTGCCTGTGTGTCAAAATGAGTCTTTGTGCGAAACCATTCATATGAAAATGTGTTCTGCCTAGAGGCTCATTTTAATGTAAATCAAACTTGTTTTCATATGAAAAGTTTTGCCCAAGGACTTGTTTTGGAAAAAAGGCACAAGGTAACTTGGAAATGGCCCATTGGCATTGTCACATTTAAATTGGAGCACCCAAGAGAGTTTTGATGTTGACAACCAAAAGTTATAAAATAATGCTCTTACCATGTTCACCATCATCTTCTGCAACTTCTCCTGCTGGAGCCTGAAAACATTTCACAGTAAAGTTACATGTATGAATTTCAACAAGGTTGTAACAGCATTGTGTGCATAGAATCAAATGCACGCTTGGTTGTTTGAAATAAAAAATTCGTCAAGGAATTCTACAGTCCATGAATGCAGTCAATATCAATTGCAAGCCACCACTACGTTAGCCATCTGTTCAGTCATCATTTTCGAGTGGTAAGTGTTAGGTGATGACCCAAATAATAGCTGCAATGGACACTACCAATTATCTATTAAACCTAATAACCCCTCACTTCTTTTCTCATTCTTTTCCCACTTTTTCTTTTTTCTTTTATTCACTTTTTCCTAACTTTCCGTTTTTCTATTTATTAATAATAATAATAATAATAATAATAATAATAATAATAATAATAATAATAATAATAATAATAATAAAAGACATTTGTAACCATTGATAGACTGGCCTGCCTAGACAAGCACTAACTATTCATGGACCACTCCAACTGTGAAGTGTACATTAAGAAATAACAAAAATGATTGATTGATTGACTACCACCAGCCTGCAAAGGAAGTTGTGTTTATAGCAAAGCACTAGTGGATTTTGCAGTCAGGCTAGTGCAATCTGTCCTTCACTTGCCAAGCAGGCAAGTAAAGTTTCTTGAGGAATATTTTTTTTCATGAAATTCAAATTACAGAAGTACTGTAAGTAATGAAATTTTGGGAGGCTGAAGAGAATAATTGCAAGGTTAATACAACATATACCGGTAGCCAATTGGTTTTTTTAACCTGTGCCACTCCAGTGATACATGTCTAAAACTGGAAAGGTTCACTCCAGTATGCCACGTACTGTGGATTGTTAAGGCCACAGTGGCACATGACATGAAACATGGGAGAGTAGTTCTTCCTCTTCTGGTATGTCCACAGTACACTGTTACAAGAAATTCCCACAAATTAAAGGCTAGCAAACTGTTCGGTTACTACTAACCAAGTCTACGTCACTTTGAATTGCATTTGGATCTTCAACGACAAAAGTATCATCCTCGTCATCTTGATCCTTGCCATCATCAACAATAACACTTGCAACTTGCTTTCCTGAACCAATTCTAAAAAAAAGCAAAATAAAGAAATATGTGTCTAGGATTTGCCTATCTTTGTTACCTCAGGATCTTGAATTAATCGTGGGAAGATTTTACCTCAGTAATTGACCATGACCAACAGTTACTGTTGAGCATTATCAGTTTGCAAAGAAAGCTCTGTCCGATAGCCCAGGGCTGGTGGATTTTTACAGTTGATTTNTCCAAATTCCAAATTCCAAATTGATATGCAAACAGTGGGTGAATTGATCAATTGATTCTCACGCCATGGATGTACCACAACCACTTCCTGTTTCATTCCTATTTCTTTTTTTTTTTCATATCAATGTAAAGTTTCACACAAACCTTGGTTCTTTTCCAGGCTTTTCTCCTGCTAGCACCTTTTTAACTGCATCAGTGCTACTTTTCTACAATGGAAGGGACATTTTAAACAAATTCAGTTTTTTGCTTCCTGAGATTTTACAATTAATGAATTTTCACATATCTTGAGTTATTCAACTTTACATGGTGTGAAACTGAAAAAGCTTTTAAAATGATCAAAAAATGGCCAAGAGAAGAAATTCATAAACTTAATGTAATTTGTAGAATACAACGAAGTTGTAAACAGACTTACTTGGCTCAAAACTGCCATACCAATTGCTTGTAAGAACTCATTTGTCTTTTCTGGTTCATGGCCAGCCACGATTTTTAATGGACGCACAGACAGCTGTCCATTTATCATACCTACAATATAATGATGCAATTATCCAACTGGGCCGGGTTGTTCAAAGCCCTATTAAGCTAACCCAGGATTAGCAAGAATTTTGATTTCAGTTTTGTACTTTTTGGTGAGGTGTTCTGTTTATATTGTTTGCCAATCAGTTTTGATCTGTAGTAATCTCAAACTAAACCAAACGTTAGAGGTGAAAAACATTTTTGAACAAGCAAAAATAACACTTCAGTTAACATTTAATCCTGGCTTAACATTAACCAGCTTTCGAACAACCTAGCCCCGGTTTACTTAGTATTATCCACTTGAAATCAGTAAGTAAATGGAAATTAGTGGCTGCCAAGGAAAAACGGTGTGATAAACAGAGCTTTTTCCTTTATTTAAGTACAAGTTTATAAACTGCTGTTTATCATCTGGACTACACTGTATATTTGCTAAAAAATTGGTAAATTACACTTAAAAGTAACCATTTTAACCATTTGTTTGATAATTGGACACAGCCTCTATTATTATCATATGGTTATCCATATTCTGATGGAGGAGCCTAAAGTATTTCTGGTATCTAGAGGGCAGGCCGCCAGCCGCCAGTTGGAAACAATGTTATTTGTCAACTGAAAGTTGAAAACTCTGAGTGCTGTAGAAAGATTAAAGGTTATTAATTTCACAGCTAGTTTTGCTGTGCTAATTTAATCGAAGTGACATGCATACATAATGCACACGATGCATGTACATTCCTAATACTTCCTCAACAAATCGATTGCAATCATACACATGATACACGTACATTCCTAATACTTCCTCAACAAATCAATTGGAATCATATTACTTAGCAAACTTATATAACTGAGCTATGTGCTGTTCAATTCTGGTTTCTGCAATAATGATATGATTAATTAATTCAGGATAGCCTTGACAATGCTGTACATCGATTTACTACCAATTAAGCAATTAAATAAATTTTCACAAATTTACTCCTATCCAAGGCGGTCAAGATTGTATAACACTGAGTCACAGAAGAGATAGGTAACAGGTAAAAATTATCTCTCAACTGGCCAAATTATTTGGATATGAGTGCAAGATTTATAAACACTTAATTTAGACATTTTNTTAACGTTGACCGGCTTTCGAACAACCTAGCCCTGGTTTACTTAGTATTATCCACTTGAAATCAGTAAGTAAATGGAATTTAGTGGCTGCCATGGAAAAGTGGTGTGATAAGCAGAGCATTTTCCTTTATTTAAGTACAAGTTTATAAACTGCTGTTTATCATCCGGACTACATTGTATATTTGCCAAAAAATTGGTAAATTACACTTAAAATGTAAAAGTAAGTGTAACCATTTTAACCATTTGTTTGATAATAGGACACAGCCTCTATTATTATAATATGGTTAAAGTATTTCTGGTATCTAGAGGGCTGGCCACCAGCCACCAGTTGGAAACAATGCTATTTGTCAACTGAAAGTTGAAAACTCTGAGTGCTCTAGAAAGATTAAAGGTTACTAATTTCACACCTAGTTTTGTTGTGCTAATTTAATTGAAGTGACATGCATACATAATGCACACGATGCATGTACATTCCTAATACTTCCTCAACAAATCGATTCCAATCATACACATGATACACATACATTCCTAATACTTCCTCAACAAATCAATTGCAATCATATTACTTAGCAAAATTATATAACTGAGCTATGTGCTGTTCGATTCTGGTTTCTGCAATAACGATATGATTAATTAATTCAGGATAGCCTTGACAATGCTGTACATCGATTTATTAACAATTAAGAAATTAAATAAATTTTCACAAATTTACTCCAATCCAAGCCGGTCAAGATTGTAGAACACTGAGTCACAGAAGAGATGGGTAACAGGTAAAAATTATCTCTCAACTGGCCAAATTATTTGGATATAAGTGCAAGATTTATAAACACTTAATTTAGACATTTTAGCATGCAATATAATTACATTCATAAACTGATCAATATAAAATTATATATGCTGTCCATTTTGAAAATTAACAAGGGGACAATTGTTTAAAGGGGAAGTTTGGCTTGTGATTTCACTAAAATGTATCTGCAAGAATCACCATAACTAAGTTGTAATAATGAAATAAAGTGCGACAGTATTTAAAACACAAAATCACACAAAACAGGCTAGCTTACTTAGAATCAAATTAGAAACTAATAAAATTTGAGGTTTAATTGAAAATTACAATACTACGCTAACAAATCCTGCCTGTTAATATAGCGTCGTGAACATTAAATCCGGACAAAACTGGATAGTTAAGGTATACTTGAGATTTAATTATACTCAATGTGGGAACAACCTGAATTAGGCTTGAATCATTTGCAGTTTGTCATCTGTCCGAACGTAAAATATCCTACATGGAGGTTGCAATACAAGAATATTTTCGTAATTGTACCAAATTGCAAAATTCGATACACAGACACTAACCGGAAAAAATTAGCCTAAATGAAAACAAGAACCACTTATCTACAGGTATCCTTTTAACTGTAAAATATATAAGCTTATAAAATAAGCTAAAATAAGCGACATTAAAGAAATTCGTATTTGGGACTAAATATGATCGAGATTCGCCAAGCTTTCTCGTCGAAATAATCGTGTCTTTTGGGCTGCATTGTAAGACACGGTCAAATCACATTCATGCAGAATTATTCCTATCTAATTCTAGATGATTTATAATTCACAGGTTTCGCGACGAAAAGGATTTTGACCCTAAAACCATTCGACGAAGTGTTAGCGCTGTTTCTTAGCAACACACAACAGCAGGACACGAACTGTCTTACCTACAACGTCGATTGCTTTTTGCAGGAAAAGGATCTTTGCTTCTTTTTCCTTCAAAAGAAACAATCGTTCGATTACCTCAAGAGATCATTCATCAAAGGAGGGATAAAGAAAGAGATGGGGTAAAATTATACCAATTGCTTTCAGTGACGAAACTTATAGCTGGCTTACCTTGACTTTAGCTGAGTCCATTTCATCAGCCGTGTACAAGCCTTTGAGAAAACCAGTATTTTTGACAACCTAGAGAATTGAGGCAATCTCAGAGATTTAGAAAAAAACTCTCAGGACCAATAAAGTACACTTTTGTAAAAATAATCACTGTACCTCGGTAATGATGTCATGAAGAAATCGGAATGGAGGCTTGCTCAGCAATTTCTCGGTTAGGGGAGGTTTCTTAATGACCTTCCCTAACGTTTCCTGCGTTTTCTTTGCTATTGCAGTATTCATGGATGGTCCTCCTTAACTACCACACTGGTAAAATGACCAAAAACTACTGGAAAGCGAGGAAAATGCTAAATTGTTTTCCAATGATCGACGGCCATCATTAAACAGTTGCGAGGGGAATGTAACAGACCAAAATTCCTTTCGGGCATGCTAAATCGACGGCCAACGTTCGGGACCAGCCGCGGGAAATGTCCCGTTTTTTCACAAGGTGAAAAACAGAAAACACATGTCTTAATCTCAGATTTTTTTGCTAGCACTGGCTTAACTGGCGTCACATTAACAATTTTGGAACACCAAGAAATTGAAAAAGCAAACTTATTCAATTTTGTTGATACAACTGTTTCATATTTTTAACTGCCGCCTGATTAGCTCAGTTCAGAGTTGGTAGAGCGCCAGTCTGCTGCGCGCGTGCGGGAGGTCGAGGGTTCGAACCCCAGACCGGACCAACACTCAGGGTTTCAAAATAACTGAGGAGAATGTGCTGCCTCATGGGCTCCTGGCTGCCTTTGTAATTACATCTGCAAATGGTTAGACGTTCAAGTCTTCTCGGATAAGGACTATAAACCGTACGCCCCGTCTCCTACATCTTCAATGTTACGTGGATAGCAGGGGACGTTAAAGAACCCACTAACTTATAGAAAAGAGCAGGGCACGTAGTTCCCGGTGTCGTGGTCTCGCCTTGTATTACGGGTTGATGCTTTACATAGGGTTAACCTCATTGCACCTTTCTCCCTTGGACAGAATTGTCCAAAAAATTGCTGACTATGTTTCTTTAGTTATGTTGTCTCCTAACTGTTATGATGTGACAATCATTATTCTCATTAACGCAAGCAAGGAGGATAATTGGATGTCTTAATCCCAGCTTACAAGAAGTTAAGACGTAAACTTGTTACTTTTCCTTGCCAGTTCTCTTCCCCACCCACCCGATCCCGCAAGGAACGGAACCTCGCTTCCATGTTCACCGGTAACCTCGCCTTCCCGTACGTTCGAACAAATCGACCTTTCAGAAATGGCGGGGCTGTGGTTGTCGTGAATATCAAAATCACTCCATTTTGCGAAGAATATAAACCTCGTTGCTGCAACTGTAACGATTTTTAGATGCTTCAAGCATAGTAGAGGACATTTCATTGTTTCTCTTCAACTGAAAGATGGATTTTTCAGAAATCCACGAAGGTAAGTTCTAAGGTCTTGCGGCGTTTTTCATCACAAAGCGTGCTTCGGCAAAGAACCACCTCGTGTTCGATTTTCAGCACGATTTTTTTATGTCTCGAAGAAACTAGTGCTACGTTATAGCTTGCGGGGTGCCAATAGAAATATCGGAAGGCTGTTTTAGCTGCATTTATGCAAATGGTTGCAAATAGAACGATGTTTCTTTGTCCCGAAAGGGCCCGCTGGGTAAATTTGTATTTTTAGAACGGTTGCCTTCTTGTTTCTCGCTTGCATTCATTCATTCATTCTGTTTATTTTGCCTTTTTACTTAATGTACAGTATTTATAAATTGGAAGTTTACAGCCGATCATAGTTAAATGCAGTAAGAGCTAAGGTGGTCGTCATATCGGAAATTATTTTACAATGAAATATAATTCAGGGTACATGTATATTTTCGATTATATCTATTTATATCAATATTATACATTTGTATTTAAGCTGTCATCAGTGCGGACTTGAGTGTGCTCATACCCAGGTTAAACTTGTCAGTTCATGAGATGAGCAAAAACAAATTTTCTGTCGGAGAAAATTCCCAGTGGCTTATTTTGAATATCCCTTAGTGTAATCTATATTGCAGGGTTGTAAATTTGTGTACTTTATAAAGCTTGTATGCTACAGCAGGCAGACTGAGTCACTGATTGGAAATACATGCATGAACCCAATTATTGAATAATTACATAATTTACTGCTTGCTCTGTAGAATCATAGCCAGGATAAACAAGATGCTAAGATTGGTGCCAAGGTTCAGAAATAATAATAATAATCTGTTTCCTATTTTATATGTCCATGCCACTGCCAGCAGGGTTTGAAAAAAACTTGAATTCCAGCTTGTCCTTGGGACAAGTAGCTATCAAATTTTGCTCGCCCTGGGCAAGTCCTATTTTGCTCTCTTAATGATTTAATTGNAGTTGGGGGTTCTTTTTGCTCTTTAGGGGTCCTTTGCCTATGTGCTAAAAGTCTTGGAACTTTTTCCTGCGTCCCAAGGACACACTTTGCCAAAAAAACTGCGCGTTAACGGGAACTCTGTGGTGTTTAACATATAAAGATATTACTTTCTGAGCTCAACAATGTGTGTAAGTGTGTAATTTTTTGTTAGTAGTTAAACTAAAATTTGTTTATTTTAGAAAAGACAATTCCAAGGCTGCTGATGGAGAAGCGAAAGGACCAGCTGCCAAAAAGGTAGTTCAAAATATGTAAATATAAATATAAAATGTAAATATGTAGCTTTCTAGAGCAGTTGAACTCTAAAAACCAATGCGACCAAATAAATGAAAAGAAAATAACCCATTATTGACTGGTGCCAAACAATGGAAAATCTCCATTTTGCTAGTACTTATCAAATGTTTGCAATGTAGANTGAGTCAGAGTCTAACAAGAAATTAAACCGCTAGGCTACTACAAGATGCTTGCAGTTACTTGCAGTTACGTGCATACAATGTGGTGTTGCTACCCTTCTACTCAGGGCTCAGGCTTGTGTTTAACATACATTTACCTACTTACTGCACTTGTACCTTTGGTACAAATTATCCAGTTGCTTTTCCAATGCACAGGAATGAATTTGATTTTTCCTCATGAAACTTTGGTTACTGTTGCAGAGTTCCCACTAGTTTTGATAGTTAAGGGTCCTTGGGACCCCCAGTTCCAAGGAGTTGGGGGTTCTTTTTGCTCTTTAGGGGTCCTTTGCCTATGTGCTAAAAGTCTTGGAACTTTTTCCTGCATCCCAAGGACACACTTTGCCAAAACAACTGTGCATTAACGGGAACTCTGTGGTGTTAAACATATAAAGATATTACTTTCTGAGCTCAACAATGTGTGTAAGTGTGTAATTTTTTGTCAGTAGTTAAACTAAAATTTGTTTATTTTAGAAAAGACAATTCCAAGGCTGCTGATGGAGAAGCGAAAGGGCCAGCTGCCAAAAAGGTAGTTCAAAATATGTAAATATAAATGTAAAATGTAAATATGTAGCTTTCTAGAGCTGTTGAACTCTAAAAACCAATGTGACCAAACAAGTGAAAAGAAAATAACCCATTATTGACTGGTGCCAAACAATGGAAAATCTCCATTTTGCTAGTACTTATCAAATGTTTGCAATGTAGATAACTGTTTTCTGAACCTTTTTGTTTTTCTTCAGTCAAAAAAGGCCGAAGATGACTTGGAAGATCTTGACGAGGTATAAACAAAATTAAGTGTTTGAGAAATAAGTATTACTAAATGAAAATGGCATGTTGCATAGTTCTAGTGAGGTCTTGTGTGTCGCATTCCATAACAAAGACACATGATGTGCTTAGTTATGTTGATATGTATTTTTGTACTGTAACTTTAGTAGTGGGTAGTTTTATTTTTTAATCTGACCTTTCATAGAAGAGATTTACTTCATAATTTCACCATAAAACATTGCTCGGATAAGATAGAAGTCAACTAAAACCATTTTGATTTGAACATTTATAATGATGTTTCGACATTTGCTCAATGCCATTACAAAGTCAATTGAGTGTATAAACATGGTATGAATTTTAATATGAACTAAGAATTCCTAACAGGCACAAATACAAAGAAAACAATGATAAAATTTGCTAAAAACAGAATGCAATTTAAAAATGTTTGCACACAAAGAGTCATGTAAAAAGTGTGGTGCAAATTGCATTTTTTTCTTTGTATTAAACACAGGGTCCATTTTCCTTAAGCAAAGTTATCTCCAAAACTGAACAATCAAACGTCAATCTGCATTTCTTCAAATAGAAAATGGACATTGAAATTTACATTGAGCAAACATGAAAATGTCATCATTAATTTTTGTCCATTTTTTCAGAATGTTTTATAAGTCAAATTTATTTACCTTTTTAGGAAAATCTGTTGAAAAGTGATGATGAAGGTGACAGGTAAGTTGAAAACCAAATCAGTCTTAACATGTGTATTTTCTACCTTCCTTGACCTCCTTTCTAATTCTTCCTGCTTGACCTGCTGGCCATGCATCTGCCTTTCTGTCGATCCAGAAATTTCCACTAATTGGTAATTATGGATGGACAGAAATTTATATGCCATTGTTTAACCTAGTTTTGATGTAATTTTGTAGTGCAAACAATGTTGATTTGGATGCTGTGAGCATACATGGTGATGATGAGTTGGACGAAATTGACAAAGAAATCAAAGGGCTTTCTGAAGGTGCAGCTGAGAACAGCAAGAAGACACCACAAAAAGGTACAACAGTCACTATAATTATTTTTAGTCTTACAGCACAGTTAAGGTCACTGTAGGCCTTCAGGGGTGCCTTCTGGAAAATATTTCCTTTGCACACTGCTTTTTTGAAGAAAACTGTGGTAAACCATATATCATTGGCAATCACCTTGCTTGCCAGAAGAGAGCAGCGACGAAATTCATTTGTGATTTGCGCTTGCGTTCAAATTTATAAATGCAAAGACCATGCAAAATCACCTAGTCTATCGCTTAAGAGACAAATACCATCAACAAAAGCCAAGATCTGTGCATGAGAAACTGCAAGATGCAAGGGATAAACAAAAGAAGTGAAACACGAGTCCGCGGATGAGATTGCCACAAAAATTGCGTGGTTGACACATTCTAATACACCATTTTTGTAATCTCAGTATTGGGACTGGAACTACCAGTAGCTTGCAACGGAGGCTTATGCAGGGAATATCGTTAAAAAGAGATTTATGACGTTTTTGTTTGAAAAGACTCCAGGTGTTAGCCTCAGTTGCAAGCTAGTTCCAGTCCAAAACCAAGAATAGGAATCTGGGCTATTGGCTTATCACAATTTGCATATTGTTGACTTGTTTTCAAAAATCACATTTTTGTGGGTAACTTGATCATGTTTTAGGTTTTGAAATTTTTTTTTAGAAATTTCAGATAATTAAAAGTAGCGGTCTTGAATTTTGGACAAAATCGTCCCCTGAGGGTCTGCAGTAACCTAAGGTGCTACTCTTGTTACTTGTAAGTACGTGTACTTTCAACGAAATGGCAGATTTATAATTTTCACACTTGACTGGAGACATTGTGTTTCATCACAGCTGAAGAGAAAAAGGAACCTAACGCTGCCTCCAGTAAAAAGGAAGAGAAAAATGATAGTGACAGTGAAGATGAAGGAAAAAAGGAGAGACAACGTTTCAAGTCTGAGCGGCCAAAAGAACAACAGAAGTTTGAGAAACAGGAACAAAGTAAGTGGAAGAAGACTTGAATGAATGGCTGTTCAAAGATTTTTGGCCCAGCTTACTCCTCTTTAGAAATGTTGTTGATAATCCTCACATTATGAAAGTGTATTTTACACATTGATACAGGAACGATATTTGCTGTGACAGTGAAAATCAGTTGTTTGATCATCAACTGTACCTTGAATGGGAAAAAGTTTCAAAATGTAGTGTGTAGTTTGAAACTTTCAAAGGACTTATTTGTTTGTCTCTCTGACATTGACAATGATTTGTTCATAAATTCTTTTGTTTTTCTTTCATTGTTAGAGAGAGACTTCAAAAAACATGACGACAGAAACTGGAACAGGAGAGATGCAGGAAGGGGTCGTGGTAGAGGAGGACCAATGATGTATGTACATGATACCAGATGTTTAGTTTGGTTCGAGGATTTCTTGTGATAGACACTAACCTCTCGTCAAGTGAATATGTCAATACTCATTAGTCACTTGATAATTATTTTCTGTTTTATTGTAGGGGACCACCACCACCAGGAATGATTCGACCAGGAATGCATCCCCCTTTTCCTCCAAGAGGACCAGATCCCTTCATGCATGGCCCAAGACCTGGAATGGGACCTGGACCTGGTCCGGGGATGGATCATGGCCCTGGATTTGGTCCCAGACCACGCTTTCCACCAGGACCCAATGGACCGCTTCCTGGCCCAATGCCTGGACCACCAGATGGACCATTCCTCCCACCAAGTATGTTTGTTTGTAGATCTGCCATTTTAAGGGCTGCTGTTAGTTTAAGGTTACTGTGTTTTAGTGATTTGCTGTGTTATACAGGTAAACCTCTCTACAATTGCCACCCTGAAGCAGAATTCAGTGTCGGTCATTGTTGGGCGGTTTGAATAAGAGTTTAACGTACTGTGTCTACCCGTGTATAAGTTGAGCTCATGTATAAGTGGACCCCTCATTTTCAAGGCCTAAAATCCGATTTTCTTAATTTCTGGCCAAGAAGTAAAAATTCAGATCGTTAAATTTCTCCAAAAAGCTATTCTCTTGTCTCTGAGAATGTTTTGCAGGCACAGGGGACAAAAATGTGGAGAAAGATACAACTGTAAAGTTTATTAGCATTTGTCATCCATACATACACAAGCACTCTAGTTTACTTGAGGAATTTTTTCCATATTTTTAAATAAGCTGCATTGAAGGTCAAATTTGCTTGTGTTAAACTAACCTTTCTCTTGATGTTGAGGTAGAAACGAGCTTTTAGTAGAACAAAGGAATACTGAAAAACGGCTCGATTAGAAACCCAGCATCTTGGAGAACGTTGTAACCGAACAAAGGGTTTTGCCAGGTTATCTAGTTACTGCGATAGCTTACTGAAAATGAAACTTGAGCAATACAATAAACAACGTGCTCCTTAGGAGATAATGTCTGCTCTGCAAATAAGAACATGCACTTGTAAGCAACTCCAGTAGGTTTGAATTTTAACCAATTCAATTTTATCATTTCAAAATTAAGTGTTCTCAAAGAAGTACCTTGCTAGCTGACTAAACACAAACGCAGTTTGAACTGTTTTGGTTACCTTGCTTTTCATGTAGATTTTGGTCAATTGTTATGCTAATTGAGTTAACGTTTGGGCCTGTCTGGTCGGCTCTTTGTGTATGACTTATGTATAAGTTGATTGTGATTTTTAGGGTTGAGTTTTAGGTCATTAAAGGTTGACTTATACATGGGTAAATATGGTATGATCATTGCATGGTTGGGATGAGAAATCTTTCGATTGGCGTTTTATAGAGATGGCCAAGAGTGGAGGTCAACTGGAGTTGGATGCTGCATTAACTAAGGGATAAGTCTTTTTGTTTGAAATGGAATGCCCTTCTCTCTGCTGTAAGACAAGGATAAACCAATGAGCTACATGCACCCAAATTCTAAGTTGATGGTAATCAGTGATGCCCTGTGCAAAGAGATGTATGCTTTCATCTCTGTAACCACAAGTATATCTCATGTTATGCTTGTCGCTCGTTTTCCCTTTCATTTTGTCCTAATGCATACTTCAGTGATGCACATTACAACATATCAGGTTCATATTGAAAGGAAAATGCCTGAATCTTCTTTCCAGGGCCACCACAGGGAAAGAATATTCACATCAACCCACACTTCAGACCTCCTCCAGGAGGAAGAGGAATGCCAGAGGGTAAGGAACATTTTAACTGAAACCTTTTTGTTCAAAGTGAGTCTGAGTATTCCTTCACGTACTCAAGGTGATGTAAATATGCTCTTTGTGACTCAGGAAATACCCAGTGTGTTAGTAAGTCTCAAGATCCTCAAAGATTGAGATTTCAAGATTACAAAATTCTTGCCAGGAATGTTTTTACTAGCCTACCCAAGAGATACAGAATTCTGTCTATAGCGGGTGAAATTCCAATTTGGCATTGTTTCATCATAAGCTTTTGTGTTGTATTGTAGACGATACACTCGAACAGGGCCTTATATTGTTTTGTCATTTTTTTTCAGGTCCACCTCCCATGCGAGGGCCACATCCAGGTCCTCCAAGACCCGAAATGCCAGGACCTCCTATGCCAGTTTCCCAGGCCGGTCCCATGCGCCCCGAGGGTGCTTTTCCGCCAGGCCCTGGAGGAGATTTTGGTCCTCGAGGACCACCTCCAGTCAGAGGTCCTCATATGGGTCCAGAACAGGGACCCAGGCCTGGAATGGGACCTGAACCAGGCCCAAGACCTATGGGCCCAGGTGGTCCCAGTCCTGTGCCAGGCCCTGGGCAAGGTCCTGGACAAGGACATGGTCCAAGATCTGGGCCTGGCCACTTTCCAGAAAATGAAATGAGGCCACCCCATGGTGGAATGGGTCCAGGTGTCAATGCAATGTCACAACCTAGGGTAAGATATTTGCTGGTTGATCAGAAATATACTAGATACCAGGGTTCTTGTTAAGTTAGGGAGTGGAGGGCTTGATTCATACTTGATGACTGACACCGATTCAAAATTAAGGGGCAAGTCTCTAGGAAGGTCTGGAAGCATGCTCCCCAGAAAATTTTGAAATTGAGAGGCCCTGAAATGCTATTTTACACATTCTCCTGAAGATATTTCCTAAAAAAAAAAAACAATTTTGGAAAAGTTCAAAATGCTAAGAATATTACAGGAGTAAGTACAAAGACTTTTCTCAATTTTTATGCTACAGTGCTAGCATTATTGAAAACATTCACCACACCCTGATCCCATGGCAGCTTTCTAGCTACGGCCTTGACTAGACAGTCGAGCTTCTGTCATATTCCTAAAACTTTACAACTTACACAAGCATTATTTCGCAAAAAGTAGATGGCTCAGAAATTAAAGTAGCTAGTTTTTCAGCTGGCAGCTGGCACTTATCAGGAACCATGTGATAATTGCTTGAGGAGGGCTTGTTTCTAGCATCGTCTCCATGCCAATTATTATTAATTTCAGGGTCCGAAATTGCGCTTTCCTGGTCGCCAATGCGACTAAAAATTTTGCACCGGCGACCAGAATTTCACAGCTGGTCACCAGTGGGCGATTAACTATTTCAAGCCACGATAATTACACAAACTTAGATTTTCAGCCAAATCAATTAAAATAAAATTCAAAGCGGCCTGCCAATTGGTCACTTACTTTTTACCTTTCCGCTGCTTTTGAAGTATAAAACTGATTTTCCTGTTATTATAACTCTACCACAACGTTTCACAGCTACGATCAGTTAGCGGAAAAATTGCCATCATTGCGGCCCCAAACGCATTCTCCTCGTTCCGATTCTTAAGAGAAAAATTAGCGAGCAGAATTTTCCATCTGGCGACCAAAAATTTTGGTTTGTGTTTCGCTGCAAAGGAAAATTTTATTGAGACTTTTTGGCGACCAAATTTTTCCATATGGCGACTAAAAAAAAATTTCAGTCGCCAGTTGGCGCCTGCCTAAAAAAGTTAATTTCGGACCCTGAATTTTTTTCTTCACACCAATTGTACCATACCAAATATCTGCTTTATTTTGCAATAATTTGTCCCTTTTTAGGGGCCTCCTCCGGGGGCACCAAGCATGATTCCACCTCGTGGTCCATTACCTGGTCGTGCCCCAACACCAGGGGGACCAGGTGCAGGACCTCCCAGTAGTGGACCAGGGGTACCTAGCCCCTTACCAGGGCAGCAGCACCCAGCCATGCCACCTAGGAGACCTTCACCTGGGATGCCTCCAACAGCAGTACCTCCTGGAGGCCCAATGCATCCAGGTGCCATGCAGCCTGGAATGCGACCACCAGTAATGAACCAACATCCAGAGGTTCCCATGTCTGAACCTGATCGAATTGTCATTGGTAATCGTGTGACAGTTTCTAATATGGAAGCCGCTAATTCAGCAATGCGAGCTGGAATGCCTCCACCAGGGTACAATGCAGCTGGAGCAGCTGCAGCGATGGCTGCAGCACAAGGTGCTGGATTAGCTGCTGCAGCAGTTGCTGCAGCAGCAGCAGCTCGGCAGCAGCAGTATTCTTATGGCCAGCAGTATCCATATGATTATGCTGCTATGTACGGAGCAGAGTGGCAGCAATTGATGCAACAACAAAGGGAAGCTTATGCTGCTACATATGGTCTGGATAAACACCCAAAGGTGAGTTATGAAGACAAGACTGTTTTGAGTTGAATAGCTAAACAAAAGCTAGTGGTTGAGTCAGATCAGAGTGTGTTGTACACACAGTACATAAATGCTTAGACAAATTTAATTTTTGATGTGATCAATTTCAAAGGACTTTATTGTCAAGTTTAAACTTCTCTCCTCAGAGTCACAAATCAAAGAAGCGTCGACGTTACAGTGCCGACAGTGCAGAGAGTGACTTCAGCAGTGCCTCGAGGTCACCATCAAGATCAGCATCACGCTCCTACTCAAGATCACCTGGGAGGTCTTGGACTCGTTCACGCTCCTTATCATTATCACGGTCACGATCCAGGTAATTTATTGGCTTAAAAGAATAAATTCCTTGTTGACCTGCTAGACATGTAAGAATCAAAACAAGTTTTCAGTATCTGGAGTAGTGTCAAATTCTAGACAAATTCTCAGACTTGGAGCAATTTAACTTGGTTGAAAAGTTCATACTATTCATCTTGAAATACCTATTTAGGTCTTCTTCCAGGTCAAGATCGTTTTCAAGATCTGTATCGCCACGTACTCCTCAGCCAAGGTCACCCGTTCGTGCTGCTAAGCCAGTTCCCAATCCAAGACGAATGGATGCCCGCAGGGAACGTGACAAGGAAAGACCTGCAGACAGATCTCGTGAAAGAGAAAGGACAAGGTTTGGACAAATTGATGTTTATTTTGGCTTGTCAACAAAGTTTTAGGAATTCAAAATCTGTTGTTGTAATTTTCCTAACCTGTTTTCTAGTTAAATAAGTTCTCATTGAAGCTAGCAAAACAATGAAATTTGAAACAATCTATCAGATCACATTGGTGTGGTTCTAAATGTCAGCTGGAAGATTTACAAACTACACAGTACTAGTTGTGCAACTGTTTAAGTTTTCTATCTCTGAAACAACCCAAATCAGCTGCAGTATGCCCATTTGGATTATGTAGTTAATATTTTGTACTTTATGTTCCTGGTCTACTGTTTATGGTAGAGAACGACCAGACAGAAACAGAGAAGCCTACAGGAACCGTGAGAGGAACGAAAGAGAAAAACCTAGAGAGAGAGAACCACGTGAACAAAGGGACTCCCGTGAAACACGTCATGACAGACCAAGAGAGAGAGACAGAGATAGAGACAGAGGGGACCGGGACAAAGCAAAAGAGAGGGAACGAGACCGAACAAGGGACAGAGAGAAGCCAAAGGAAGGTCATAGAAGAAGTCGAAGCAGAGATCGATCATCTCACAGACGGGAAAGCAGGGAGTCACGACATTCTGAAAATAGTTCCTCCAAGGTCAGTCGACAGAATCTAGTGACTGGATTATCAGTTGACAGCTGCTCATTCTGTCCTTCAATCCCTCTTTAATGGCGCATGAAAGAGCTTAAGCTCTGTAATTTAAATAGGAAGGTACTGGAATCAGAAGTTGTATCAACCAAAAAATAAGTCGCATTAATGATTACAGTGACTCTTTCAGGATTTTCAGTCAGAATTGAATTTCTATCCCCTCAGACCAGTTTACAAGTAAATACATTGAGGGGTTTTTGAAAGCATTATCACACTTTGTACTGCTAAGAAGCCTTGGTAATTGCACAAGAATTATATTATTATTAATATTATTATTATTATTATTATTATTATTATTATTATTATTATTATTATTATTATTATTGCTTTTACAGCGCATTGTGGTTGGTCCTTCTGAAAGTAAGAGTAAGACAACTAGTTCCACGCCTGACTCAAAAGCAAACCGTGTTGTGGTAACCAAGGCATCAAGCAGTGGCAAGCCTTCAAACCGCGTTGTGATTGGTTCCTTACCTGAGGCGATAACACCAAGCAGACTGAAGGAACTGCTACAGGGAATTGGTCCAATTCAGGTAGATACTGTCACAGCGTTTACATGAGTGGTATAGGATATTCTTTGATAGAAAACCCAAGGTTGTCAAAGGAAGGCGAATGCTCACAAATATCACTATCTACTTCATGATTTTGACTGGGTACTCTGCTGATCTATTCATCCGACTGTTTAGAAAGAGATGGCAAAATCAACTGCTTACTAACTTTGTGACAACCCTGGAAAGCTACCCGAAAATACCATGATATAACCCCATCCCCTACTGAAAATAAGTCCCTTTCCCCTAAAAAAAACCCCTGTCCTTTTGTCAAAGGACAGAACCTGATCTGACCTCAAAAGTCTTTTGATGAAAAGCAAGTCCATGCCCTTAGATTTAGTCCTTTAAGAGCAACATTACTTTTTCCGATTATTAGCCCACCGTCAGTGGAACTTTGTTTCACATGTTGTCAGAATGCACTTGAGATGTTTATAACAACTTGTGTGTTATGTTAGAGAGTTTTACCATTGCCATACTTGTCTTGTATACTACTAAATTTTGTCATACCAAACAACACTCCCAAATGTAAACCCGCATATTACTTGAAATGCAAATTATATTCCTGCCAGTTATCAGCCCAACCCCCCACCCCTAGTAGTGACCCTTAACAAAATAATTGAAGTTATATGTAACTTTTTTCATTCTTCCATAGCAACTGAAAATGTCTACAACAAAGCACAAGGCATTGGTGACTTTTGAGAAGAATGAGCATGCCCTGGCTTGTCGCCGAAAATTTCATAGGTAACCTAGCTAGCAAAAATAGGTCTGCAATGTGTACATGTGTCTACTGCAAATACAGTGAGATGTTGATTTCTTCGTAAAGTGGGGAGACCAACATTTATTTGTGCAACATTGGCAAATTTAAACAAAGATTGGTGCTTATTTTACTAACATTGTTTTTTTTTACAAATTTTTCAGGACCGTGGTTGATGATAGCCAAGTTACTGTCGACTTCCTGTGATTTTTAAAATCTTAATTTGAGACAAGGCTTTACATTTTGTGGTCTGCTTGTTTGTTTGTGTCGTTGTACTTGTGACATTGTACATCGTTTGTGTTCATAAAACCTGGCTTTTAGGATAGTTCTTAAACATTAACAAATATGTGTTGTACTATAGCTTTAAACATGTTGATCTCAACAATTGTTGTTGCATATCTTTGGATGTGTTTTTTTACTGTCAAATTAAGAGTACGCAAATGTTCACTATTTCAAAGGTAGATGGTGAAAGCATGTACATATTTGTAGTTCTTTAGTGATTTAGTGGAATTTTATGCATGTTTCTTTAAATCAGGAGTGTGTAGTTAAACTAGACCATTCATTAAGAGGAACCAGAGACAAGCGTCAACCAAGAACAAACTTTAACAAAAGCATGCTGTTTGCTAAACTGACATGTTGCTTTTGAATATTGACGTTTTGAGCCACCATCTGCGTGTGCGACATCTTCATCATTCAAAGCTTTCTGTGGAAACCTTGTGAGCACCTAATGCAGTACTCCTGCCTGTAATCAGAACATACTGTCGGCACTTATTTTCACAATTCTTTATTCCTGGAATTTGTATAGTTAGTGATTAAAACATAGATGCTGAGTTTTTGAATTTTAGTGTCAAGCAAAGTTACGAGATTTAACTTAAGAAATAACTGTGAACACAGCATTTTGCTGAAAAAGACATCCATTAGATCAAAGACATCAATTCAAGGTAATTTATTTGGGTCTACAGAACTATAAAATGTTTCAATGTTGTTACTTTTAAAAATTAATATTAAGAACTTACTCACTCATCATAAGAAGGTTTGTTTTAGACATACACACCCAAAGTTTCAAGTTAAAGTTAGTTGTCGTACTAAAATACATTTCCAGGTTTATCTTGAAATAGAATCGTCCGGAGGTAAAAATAGTTAACCCAGCTTGGTCAGTTACTCTTTCTAGTGGGCTAACACCCAAGATTTCTTGGCACATGGTTCATTTGTCTGTTCTAAATGATCACTGTTTTGTTAGAAAAAAGTAATTTAATCATGTGGCACAAACACTTGTGCCATGTGTTGAAAATTTAAGTTGCTGAGTTTCTCTTTGAAGTAGACAGGTGATATGAGTAGCTAGCTATGTGATAAAATTTTACATTGCAATCTCCAGTTATGTTCCAGAACTATTTGAGAATTTCTATTTCAAAACCACCATAAAATTCTTCCTTAGAGTCAAAACACATTTAGTTATGGACGAACTGTGACCCTTTTATAAGGTTAGTCAGGCCATTGAGGGTTTTTTCATGAAATGTGGTATTCAGGTACAGTAAAGCTGTGTCAAGGAGAATTTGAATTTTGAATTAATCAATCAATTAACAAAACTCTCGAGTTCCTGTTTCTGAAGACACTTTATAGAGCACTTTTCACTTGACCATGAAGACCTACTTCATTTAGTGCTTAATGACTACCGAGACGAACTGATTATAAATGCTAACCAATCAGAGCCCAGAAGCTGTTTTGACAGGCAATCAGTACTAAGCAAGACTAAGACCACTCTGAATTATTTCTGAAGGTTCTTATTGGTTATGGTTGGCCACATGACCACTTAAGCTTGACAGGTCATTGGAAAATTGCTCTATAAACATACTTGAATCCTGTAAGTGACGTGCTTGAGACTACAACAAGTGTTCTGTTAGGTGAGGTGATGCTTATGGAAGGTTTAAAAGACAGTGTAGTGTGTGGTTGAAAACTACATGTAGACTTTGTGTCGGTTTACAGGAGGTGTCACATAGCACATGTGACTGTACCTGAATCAAAGTTTTAAAATTTGACTTTAACATTTTGTTACAGTGTTGTATATTGACACTGTACTCCTAACAAATGGTTCTCCAAAGGGCAAACTGAATGGACTAGATCTTTGAGAATAGCTGAGCTTCAGTCATTGTAGCACACAAGTAATGATTATGCAACCAAAGCAATCATACACATTTCAGATTGTACTGGTTACCTGTATATAATTCAACTATGGTTTAAAGGAACCTAAAACCTTTTGGAATAAAGATATGAATGGATATAACAATAAATTTCTTTTCTATAATGGCAAAACTTGGCAAACAAAGCCTCCAATCACAGTTTAATGCTGACAGTTTAGTGTAATATTGATTGTTTCTCCTCTGATGAGACAGTTTTGAAAATTCTGAAGTTTTGGTGCTCTGATTTATGAAGGCAAGAAAGATTTCCATTCACACAGTCTTCTAATGTGTAGAAATGAATGGTTTGAACAGCCAGGTTTTATGTTGTGTTTTGTTGTACAGTATTGTGTTGTGTTTATCTTCTGCATACCACTCAACATTTCTATAAAGTGGGTTTCACACATTAAGGCACGCTTGCACTAACGGAAGAGCTTTTCAAGTTATACACATGTACCTAGCTGGGTTCCAAGAACATTTACTTAAGAAAGCATCCCTGAAAACATTGTGAAATACCAAGAGATGTCCTTTGAACATGACGCTAATCTCATGGTTCCATGGAATGTGAGAACTGGACACTTCACACGTGAAAAGCATGAATTGGGAAATGGGACTGGTTCACTTCAAGGACTCTACAACTTGGACCATGTACAGAGAAACAGGTTTTTACAAGTATTTGATAAGTAATTAACATTATTACAGTGTGGTCCATATCTTATGTCAAGGCTGCTTGTGAAAAAATGGAACTTAAAGTTTGTGTAGAAAGATAAAAGGATTAGATTAAAGAAAACAAGGAAGGTTTATGGCCCCTACAACTTTGATTTGGTGTGGCATTCTTTCACTGATAAACAGTCTGGTGTCATCGGCAGTTAACATAATTGTAACCTTTAGATTACAATACTCAATGATAATTGAGGCATAAACCTTCTTACTCCCTCCAAAAGGCCAACATGGTTCAATTTTTAGAAGTAAATCAATGCTTCAGCTGTTACATGTAATTTAAAATTAGAGTTATGTATTTAATGGCGTTGTAGCCATACGTTTGCAGGGTACCGCCAAAAAAACATATGACCAATATCGTTGAGATATTGTTTTTTCCTGGGTAGTAATTTTATCACTTTTATTAGTTTTTTTTCTTGTTGAGCAACATTTGGCCACTGAAATTCATTTTCTTGGTCAAAAGATATCAAATATCTTAAATTTATTTCAACCTATCTTCCTCTGATCTGGTCATGAAATATATCATCATAAATGCATTAAAATTTAATGGCACAATGAGAAGAGATGGTAACATTTTAATCATTAAACTGCAAATAGCAGTACAAAGTAGTTCATGAAAATTATAGTAGGGGCTTAACTGGCTTATACTGATGCCTTGGCGCTTTGTTTTTATTAGATGTAAGATAACTCTTAAAACGTTTTTTGGTGTTAATTCAGTTCTTCAGCACTCATTGCATTTCTTTTGCAGCCTTGACAATATCCTAGAAAACTCAGTCTTATGTTGGGCTGTCTGTGCTACTTGAATGTTTTGTTCGCTGTGCAAAACAAGTTCAAAACATAGCTTTGTTTTCTAGGATATTACGTTTTTATAGCTTTAACGTTTTGCAATTTTCGATCATAGCTACCTATGAGATTCAATTCTCTTCTTAAAAAGAAGAAACACGATCTTCTTACATTTATAATTAGAGAATCTTTTTATAATGAAGCCTCTTAACTGAGCACCAGAAACAATTCTTTTAACAGGTGCAATGTAATGTATAGTAGTGGTTGTTTACTTTCATTCAAGGTCGTAAATTTTGTGTCATTTCCTCTAGCAATGAAGCCAAAACTGTCCTTAACAATATTATGTTTTTATGGTTTTTGTTGTTCGTATTTAAATTATTGAATGAATTTGTACTTCAATCAATCTAATGTATGAGGGTTAGCGTTTGGTTTGGTTCAGCGAGGGTAAGAACACTTTCAATGCATTCACCTCATAACCATTCATTTATTCATATTCATACTTCTATAATTCATACCTTGAAGATTTCTACCTTGATATATTTCCTAATATATATTGGCGCCAAAATTTTTATACAGAATATTTAAGCAATGGGCACTTTCAATATATTTGCGCCATAAATGTACATGCATTCATATTTGTACTTTCATATACCCTGAAATTTCTACCTTGATAAATGTTATATTATTTATTTGCACCAAAATATTTATATTGAATATTTATATATCTGTTTAACAAGTTTCATTAATTAACCCTATTACAAATATTTTGATAGTATAAATTGCTCAAAATAGTTAAAACGTTCTTTAATAGCAGCTGTTTTCCATGTAGTTTTTGTATTTATAGAGGTTTTGTGTACATAATGGAATTTTGTCAGCTGATGGTTTGGTAATAACGAAATATTGGGAATGGTATTTTCGGCACCATCTGTTGTTTCAGACAAAAGTAAACTTACAGTTCTATATCAGAATTGTTTAACGGGGGAGAATATTCTGCTACCTTTTTTGTGTGGGAGTTCCGTTTCGAGGCTCGAGGCCGCTTCTTTGATTCCTTAAATTGGAATCAACTTGCTTTCCCTCTGCATTATTTTCATGTATAAAATGACTGCTTCTTTCTATAAGGTTGGGTAGTTTCTATGAACTAAAGCTTACCCTCGGTTGATTAATAATAACTTATTCTTGGAAACTATTTTCTTGGGAAATCTTGCTTATTTTAGGGACTATGAGTGTTGTCTGTTTTCGATGTTTTTTTTTTATATATATATAAAAAAGAACATATTTTTGTAGCTTAATACACTGTACAGTGGTGTTCATATTTGTTGATACAGTGAACAATTCGATAAGAATATTCCCTGAGAAATGTTGTCTATTGTATAGACGTAAGAACGTTTGTCTGTAACAGATATCGATAAGGAATTTCCCTTATTATTCATAGTGAAATTTATTATTGCCTTCGTAAATAATTTACACCTGGTAGCAACCTCTGTACATATTAATATGAATTCTGGTAAAAAAAAACATGTTGCAATATATAAACTTCATTCAAATCACAGTATACTAACATACCTCTACTTTTTTCAGTTATGGTTATGTGTTAAACTATTTAGATGCTATCACAGAATACTTTGCCTTTTGGTAGTTGAGGTTTGATTAAGTTAACGACCTAAAGGTTAGGATTCATACCGTCTTGCTAGGATGAATTTATCGACCGTTAAAGGGTTAATGATTCGTTTAGAATTAGCAGCTAACATGTAACTTTTTATTTCTTTCAAAGCATTTACCCAATGTCTAAATTATTTGCCTTAATTGCTGAAGAACTTTACCAATGATATTAGCAAACTCGAATGCCGTGTTTTCGATTCGGAAAAATAGATCTCCGTTTGCCAAGTCAGTAATTGGTTAAATCGTTTAGCGATGACATCAACTGAAATATTTTCAAGCGATGCAAAAACTTAATAATAATGATGATATGACAAATCCTGGTTATAGTATAGCTTTAAGATGGTTGTCTTTTACGTTACTTTTTAGAGAAGTAAGCATTAATTTAATGAATTACTAACTTTTTACCTTTTAGCAGAAAGGGTGTGAAAATTTCGAAACACAATTCTATTTTGTCAACTGTTAGCATCTCGAAGCCTCTGTTTTAATTGTAACTTACTTTAAGTCAAATGTGGGTTGGTGGAAGTGGCTTTGCAGTAAAGCAACTTAAAATGATTATCCTTTTCGAGTCAATTTTATTACCTTTATTGCATAACTTTGGGGAATATCTGCATTTTAAAACTACTGACTAGTCAACCTCCACTATTGAAGTACATTCTTATCCGAGCACTTCTTCAGTATTTGAAAAACTACTTTCGTATCTGCTGTCAGTTTATTATCATATCAAGATTTGGCCTGACCTAGTATGCTTAATGCATTTATGCATAAACCCACAAGAAAAACTACTTCGTCTTTCTTACCTTGAGGACTGACACTCGAAACGTCAGTTTTAAACCTAAAATGACAGTATGTTTACTCAATGATACCGAAGTTAATAGCAACGTCAGGGATTTCTACCTTAAGAAACTTTGCATCTGTCGCTAATTTGATATGCTAGTATTGCCAGCATATTTGTAATACAAGCTTCATGGGAACAAGCGACAAAAGTCGGCTATACAACGGGCACAGGTTGAATAAGGTTCCTTGTACGAAAACACTTTTGAGGACAGAAAGGGAGAGGTGGGGGGGTGGGTGGGGGGAGGTTACTTTATACTTAAATCTCTTGGAAATAAAAATATATTTAGCTGAAGTGTCACGTTGTGTTTGCGTCTAGTAGAGTGTATCAGCTTTAAGCACTCGTAAGAATAGGAACTTCATCAGGGTGTTGCTTTAAATCGATGTACGAAATTGGAATGCGTTGACTACTTTAAAAATGCATTTATCCCAGCTTGAAAATTTGTGGAGTGGGCTGTTTTCGTGCCAGATTGAATCCTTATTTTTCCGGATAGTAAATAGTTTAAAAGGAGTGCAAGAATTAAACGCAAGTTTTGGTTTTATTGTAATAAAAATCTCAATAATTGATATTTAACTCCTAGGTAACACCGCAAATTGCTAGCCCAAAAGAAATTAACAAACGTCTACTTGTTTCGGAATTACGTCAAAGCTAGAAAGTGCCTGATAACATCAGAAGAAAATCACAGCCATCAAAGAATAAGGGCCAAAATGTTTTGGTGGGAAGTGCATCACAAAAATCAGTAGAGACTAAAATTCATAGCAATGTAGCTATTGACTTTGAACCTTTTAAGAAATTGGGTACAAATAACGGTCAGGTTGCCCAACTTTTACAGACTTGTCATTGGCCATTTCGGTTATTACATTTTTTTTTTTGGTTCAGGCCACTCTAGAATTTGTGCAAGGTAATACAAAATGAAATTAGTTTTCCCTCGCAGAAATTACTTCGAGTGTTAACAGTAAACTCGAGTTGCGAATGGTCATTGTTCTATTTGATTACGCAATCCGTGAAGTTCACGTTTCCAACACCTCGCATAAATTTGTCCCTCGCCCGATAATCCCTAGTCTAGAGATGAGAGGAATTTATCAACAAGCAAAAAAAAACCAGTTCTAAGCGATATTACACGCCTGGCGCCGTAGAACGTTTTCTTAGAACAAGATACGAACTTTCCTTCACGAGACCGCCCAAGGAACCTTTGGTCTTCAATACCTGACCTTTCTGCAACATTCCAGCAATTCGCGCTCCTCTAACACTAATCGACATTTGTAGTTTGGGACTGTAGAAACAAGCGCTGAAGGAAAGCATTCGGCATGCCCTGTGGAGTAGACATATGTTTCCACAAAGCAAGTTGTAAGCTGAGCGACATGGAAGGAAACGTAATGGAGCTCAGTTACGTTATTTTGAGCTATTTTTACCGCGTCCAGAATTTCCTTGAAATTGAAGGAAAACTGAAAATAGTAATTTACTAAGATGGACAAACACCAAGGGGATAATAAACCATAAAGGAACAAAGATGGTTAAGGATGGAGAAGATTGACACGGGTTACAAACGACGAACTTGATAACTTTAGGCTAAGCTTTTCAGGATATGCAAAACATGACGTAGCAGCTCCTTTAAGCCAACAGTTTGTCATGGTATCAAAAGTGGCGGTATTTGCGAGGAATAAGTGTTGAACGAGGATGGTTCAAGCACGAGGGTAACGTGAGGCTGATCTAAAATTTTGTTTCTAACAGACCTCTATCCTGAAGAAATCAAACTGCGCAACATGTTTCAGGGCAAAGACTTCGCCGCGAATACCGACTCTACATGTAAGAAGTGTTTCTAGTAAATTTTCCTCGATTTTTTTAAAGTTCTATCTGGACAATTCTGCTCGATATAATTGTGACGACGCAAATATCGTATCCCATTTTCACTCTTAGATTTTTCCACGAATTGAATCTCAGCAAGTCATAGTGTTTGGCCAACACAACTTTTTGCGGAGACAACTGTCATGGAAACCGAATTTGAGAATTTTAACGAAAGCTGTAACACTTGAGAATTGCGAAATTCAGTGTGTATTGCTAAGCACTGGAGATTTAGTGGCAGTTTTAAATGATTACTCGAAGGTATGAAACCTTCCAGGGCAGGAAACGTTGATTCAACTGGTTACTATCAGTAAGGTATATTCGTGTTATCATGAAGAAGTCTTTGGTCCCATGGCCCGCCTGGGGGACTGAAAGAAACTAAACCTGATAAAAGTCAGTCAGGCCGTACCTGACTAAATGTTGGATAAAATCAAGTGTATTCTATACTGACAGTCGGCCTCTCCGGATTAATTCTCTACAGCTTGCAGGCTAGATCCAAGATTCGTTATCTTTGTACTGTCCGTCATCTTATGTGGTCTTCGTTATTGCTGTTTAAGAGGAACACGGTGCTGAACATTTGTTTCAAGCTGTATAGATGCTATGCACAAATTTTGCTCGTTTCCTGAAACTTACATAATAGCCAACCAAAAATATACTCGACCAATGCTTTCCTTACTTTACTATACTCCGTTTTCCCTTATTATCGACCTTTGTCATTTCCACGCTCTTCAAAACTTCCTAAGTAGCTAATAAGTACAGTGCAATACAATAACTTTATTTATATAGTGAGTATATAGAAAGCTCTGTATCGCTTTACAGTCATGAAAGTAAAACTAAATATAATAATTTAAACTAAATTAAGTATAAATTCTAAGATAGAAATAATTATCGATAAGCAATTCTGAAAAGATGAGTTTTAAACGCGAGTTAAACACGGCGACCGATGGACTTCACTTAGTTTCAAGAGGCAGATCATTCCATAGTTCGGGGGCGGTAACTGAGAAGGCTCTGTCTCCTTAAGTTTTTAGACGTACCTTAGGAACGTCCAAACGCTTCCAAACTTCCAAACGATCTTTCCGTGAAACTCTAGTCCAAGTAATATTAAAAAAAAAAACACTTTTGGAATTCATTCACACCAACTACACGTAAGAAGTTAGGAATACAACCCTTTCCTGGTAGAATCAGATTCAGAATTGGATGTAAAATCTGCAAAATTTCTGGGTGGCAAAAGGACTAGTGAGCTATACATTCGGTGGAAAATTTTGAGTTTTGAACCCGCGTCGCACAAAAAGTATTCAATACATCGTGCTCAAATTGCTTGGGAAAGGTGACCTTGCTATACCCTTTCAATATTCAGAACCGAGATTTTTGTAGCTTATACCGGAACGAGGCAGATATTGTAAACAATTATTTCCCTATGTGGTACACAAGTTTATGAACCCATTGTAAACACTGTGTTATAAAGGGGAAAATTGTGAGCCATATCACAACTCAGGAAAGGAATAACTTGCAAACTGTATGAGGTGAATTAAGATCTGATGTAATCAACTTCACCTTTTAAGGGACATGAAATCCCCCGGATTTTAATGAAGAGAAGCGTAAAAGTTTAGCTCGTTTTCCAGCCGCTGTTCGAAAAAGGAGCCCGCGGGGAGGAAGGTGGACCAGTCAAGAGAGACCTACAGAAATCGAGCTTACGCGAAGTTCCCCTAGTTGGAGAGAAAAAAGCTTGTCACTCCCGAGCTGGCGGCAGAGAGGAAAGAGCAAAGAGGAATACCCGCAACAACTTTACACGAGGCGCAATTTATCTGCCAGAACTGCAGTCGTTCCTTGTGAATTAAAAATCGGGCTATGTAGCCACGGCAAACGCTGCATGTAACCAACTAATCCATGAAGCTTATCCGACAGATGCCTTCTTCTACCTGCTGAGGCCACTAACATTTTACGGCTTCCACAATGATCCCGTATCAATCGATTTCCCAAGTCATTGCAAAAATAGAAACCGTGAGAAGAAAGTTTTAACTGAGTCAATCTATAACTGATTTGTAGACTTTATTGAAATGGTTGCATAACTGATTTGCAGACTTTCATGAAATGGTTATTCGTGGTGGATGAGGGGAGGGTGTTTGATGGGCAGGTCTGTCTAAGACCATGTCTGACACTAAAGTCAAGTGCCTTGCCTATATATTGACTTTATCATAGGTCTTCAAAGAAGTTAAAGGTCGTTTAGACCCATGAGTACAAACCGGTTTACACTTATGTAATTACAAGTAATAGTTATTGTGAAACGAAACGCGTATTTTGGTCTGGTTTGGTTATAGAGTAATTCTGAATACTGGACATGGGTTTTGCAACTTCTCTTCTTTATGATGGGGGATTCATTCAACTTATGAATTGTGCTCTAAATAATCTGATTATTAGACACTTAGCATGTTCTTTTGGAAACTTTGCGAACCTGATTTAATAGTACTCCCATTGTTGTCTATTCTCTCGCTGCTAGCACACGAACGCGCGCGCGATGTTAAGTGTCCACTGAAACAATTAGACTACTCGCCCCAGTTGCGCCATTCATAGAAAACGTGCGAACGTAGTCTCGATGATAAAGAGCTGGAACATGCGTGTTTTTTCCCGTTCCTACCACTAGTTCATGTTTTCCCAGTGATTAGCTACGCCACCGTCATATTATAAACTTGTGTAAGTAAATGTACTAACTTAATTTTTTTAAACCATGTTGGCCTTATCTCAGCCTAACTTTTCGTAATTCTTACAAAAGTGCCAGTATTGCAAGCT